CTGTGTGTGTGTGTGTGTGTGTGTTTGTGTGTGTGTTTTATGGTTTTAGTTTTAGTAATAACCCTGACAGACATGATGAAATACAAACGTGAAATTGGTGTTCAGTCAATTCGCCCCTCATGGCACTTCAGTCAGAATATTATTAACCATCATAATATTTAGAAACAATTATAAAATTTACTTGATTTCAATGATTTTAATAGAAAGTAATTTACAGGTATTTATTGTGCAAATCAGAGAACCACTTCCCAGGAAAAGCAGGAGATTAATAGTAGATTAAAATGTATATATTCATATTTTAGTTGTGCAGTTAGTCAATGAGTATTTAACCTCTTGTTTTTACAGGTAAAGCATCTCAAATTCTGTCTTGTCTTTAATTTCTGACCTTAAACCGACTGAATGTACTTTCCTCTATAGCAGCAAAGTCTACCTCTCCTGATGTTGTTGCATTGACCTTCAAACGTGTTTCAACAACGCTACCAAGCCTCCATAAGGAGGTTCAGCCATCAGTCTCTACCTCCACTCTTTTAACAGAGGATTTTAAAGCTGAAGTCTCAGGTGATGAACTTGAGGGCCCGAATCAAGGGCCTCCGGTTGACTTAAACGTCACTGATGTGAGCAGGAATAGTTTGATGCTGTCTTGGTCGGCTCCTGAAGGAGCCTTCGATAGCTTCATCGTTGAGTTGAACTCAACAACAAAATAAGTCCAAAGACAGTGTTATTGAAGTGTCTGGAGAAGCCAGGCGGGTCCATGTAGATGGGCTGAACCCTGACACGCTTTATGAGATTACATTGTATGGGATGAAGGCGGGCGAGAAATCCCAACCAGTCAATGCTCACATCAAGACAGGTACATGGACATGAGCCTCAGAAACCACAGTCATCTGTCATCCGCCATAACTCCAATATTCATAATACTACAAATGTCATTCATTTGTTCATTCATTTAAAGTCATTCTTAAAATGTAAAAGTTAGCCCATCATCTTGGGAGCAATTCTGCAGGCGCAAGGCGGTTTGTGGGAAAATTGTGTTTTTACACTACAGTGTTTAATGCAAACCCAAGACCTTTTGACGTCAGAAATTGGTTTATTTGGTTAGTTTAAAAGATTTTTGGGTCCACACCAAGAAACCACACCTAGTTTGCTTGAGAAATGGCTGTGGGCTTTGGTTTATGTAGACTACCATGACTATAATGAAAGCTTTTGATAATTCTAGCTTGTCTGGTGTTGCATCTGTGAGCATCATTTTGTGCATGTTGAGTATTTAGTTGAACACTACCGTTAAAAAAATTTGGGGTCAGTAATAAATATAATTATGCTTTTATTCAGCAAGGACATTTTAAATCAGTTTTATTTTTAGTTTCTTTGATGTACTGTTATAGTTTTTGTTAATATTTTGAATTAAGATTGTATTTGTATATTTTGTATTAATTTTGGGGTTTTGTAATTTTTATTTATTTATTGTTTCAATATATATATATAGTAGTTAAGTTTCAGTTTTTAGTTTTAGTTATTTTAATTTACTCAGTTAATAAGTACTTCAACTTAAACTGAACAAAAATGTTAAATGTTTTTATAAACATATTTTATTTCAGTTAATGTTTTTATTTTTTAAATAATAAAAATGAAATAATGTTTTTTTTTTAATAATGTTTAATAATAAAAAAAGAAAATAATGAAATAATGATTTTTTTTTAATGGTTTTAGTTTTAGTTAACTATAATAACCCTGCATTTCATTGATCAAAAGTGACAGTAAAGATATTTATAATGTTACAAAAGATTTCTATTTCAAATGCTGTTCGTTTGCATTTTATATTCATCAAAGAATAGGAAAACAGTTTCCACAAAAATAATCAGCAGCACAACTGTTTTCAACATTGATAATAATGATTTCTGAAGTGACACTGAAGACTGGAGTAATGATGCTGAAAATTCAGCTTTGATCACAGCAATAAATACAATAAATTACAATATATTCAAATAGAAAGCAGTTATGTTAAATTATAATAATATTTCACAATATTTTTATTTTTACTGTTGTTTTGATCAAATAAATGCAGTCTTGGTGAGCAGAAGAGATTCAAAAACATTTAAAAAATTTTACCGACCCCAAACTATTGAACTGTATTGTATATTAAACATCAAATATTATTCAAAATTCACTTTCTCCAATCAAACTCATATTCACTTAACATTTTAGTTGTTACCCAAGATGTGATCTCAGTACCTCTAGTGCCACGAAACACTTGCAGAATTGTTTCATGAGAAACCTCCCCTTGGGATTATAGCATGAAACAATTAATATAATGTTTTATCTGATCACTCTGACCATTGTTTCTCAACGTGAATGAACACCGTCTCTCTGTGCCTCATGTCTTTATCCATATCATTTCATTCCATCTATTAACTATTTTTTCTGTGTCTGTCATTACATTAAGCCAGTGACACTGGCAAGTTCAGCTCATTTTATTATGCAAATGTAATTAATTTCAGTGACAATAACTCATGTCTGATTTCTTTGTCCGTCAGAGGAGCAGAGGCCGCAGATTGGCAGTCTGAGTGTGTCTGATGTATCTTGGGATAGCTTCAATGTGTCCTGGACCATTGAGGATGGCTCTGCCTTTGAGAGTTTTGTGATTGAAGTGGCAAATTCAGCAGGTCCAGAAAGACAGAACCTTTCGGTATCTGGTGATGCCCGTAGTTTATGGATGTCTGGGCTCAGTCCCGACACGTCCTATATAATTACATTATACGGAGTGCATCAGGGCTCGATCCTGGGGTCGATCTACACTCAAGCAGCTACAGGTACCTATGCTTACCTGGATTTCCCTGCTGAAAAAGAAGTGCACTTTAGTAGACTTTTAAAAACAGTACTTATTACGGAAATAATATACTTAAGATTTAATGTAATGTTTTCGCAGCCCTAATTGCATTTACAATTAAATGAAAATATATTATAGTTAAAAATTTTATTACATTCAATTAGTTGAACTTAAGAGTGTTTTTTAACAACACTGTTCATTTGACACACTGAAGTGTCCATTTAGACATATTAACATTTCAGAATACATATTTCATTAATGTAATACATACTTCAATATTAACAATATATTTTGTACTGTTTTACATATTAAATATACATACTAAATTACACTTATATTCTATATATATTTCATATATATATATATTATAATACTTCACACACACACACACACACATATATATATATATATATATATACATGAAATATATATTGTATAATGTATTATATATTATATATTATACATGTATGCTTTTAATTTGACAAAATTACACTTCAGTGACATTTGATTTATTATTATAAATATATGAATATTTCATTAATTTAATACTTCAAGTACAGTACAGTTTTTTTTTTTGTTTTGTTTTTTTTTTTGAATATGCTTTCAAGTTTTGAAACACACTGCAAGTGCACATTCAGTGCAATTAAGCACACTTCTTTTTCACAAGAAATGGGACATCTTTTATCTATTATGCCTTTTTTTTCTTTGTCTCTTCTCTCTTTCTGACAGTTGTATTTCTAGTTGGGAGCTGTGGTGTCAAGCAGGTGCTTCTGTGCTTTAACATTTCCTTTTAATTTTTCACGAAACCTAAACGTCTTTGTTGCATGGGGCCGTTGAGAATGATAAGCAAACACTTAATGGTGTCCATCATAATTTGTTGATTGTGAAATGACTTCTTTTAACAAAGCTAACTGATTGTCTCCTCTACTGTTCCAGCCACTGTGTGGGTCTTGCCTCAAAGTTGATTGCGTTGGGGCACAGAAAATGCCGTGTTTCCATTCATTTCCTTCCACTGAAATCAAAGCTTTGTGTTCAACAGTAATCACTGTCGACCATTATACTATCATCCATTTCATCCAGCTGCCCACATGCATGGCACCATCCATCTCACACATTTACCGCATTGTGGTGAGTTTTGATGAGCTGCAGTGATTGCAACATATTTCATCCTCTTACATATAATTTCATTCACTTTATTGTGATCTCATCACCTACTTGCATCATTTCACACACTTTTTGAATTGATATAGATGCAATGTGCATTGAATAAGTAAGGTCCATTTTTTTTATTTTTGTTGATTTTGAGGACCTTCTATGTCAGCGGTTTCAAAATATTTTTTGTCAGTCAAACCTTTGACATAATATATGTTCTAAAAAGTTAATATTTCAACAATTTAGCAACACATTTGCTTGTTCTCGGTTCTCTGATGCTGGTTAATCATCACATGATGTGCAGGTAAACCATTGAAAATAAAATATTTTCAATAAAAATAAATACATTTATTTTTATTGAAAATATTTTTTTGAATATTTTAAATGTTTTTATTAGATTTTTTTATTTTAAAATTATTTATTTTAATTGTACATTTTTAAAGAAATGAAAAAATTTAAATTAAGATATCGTTTTAAAGTAAAAATCGTATTAAAAATTATTCAGCTATTATTAGCTTTTTTACTTTTTTATAAAAAAAAAAACTTAAAAAAGTAATTTGAAAATGTAAAAAAAACATTAATTGGCTTTTAAATATCTATTGATAGCTATTCTTTAATATTATAACACTATACATCTTTTTAATTTTTTGTTTTAATTATCAATGCTTTGATGTAATAAAAGTAACAATATGATTTAGCGAATAATATAAAAAAAATTAAAAATATATTATAGTAATATTTGATTAAATATAATAATATTTTAAATAATAGATCAAATAATAACTAACAATTAAATATAATAATTCAATTAAATAATTTAAAAAGTTAATTAAATATTCAGACATACTGCTTTCTGGGCATCACCAAGCATTAACTTTTACTGCACCGAGCAAAGAACATTACTGTATGTTACTGTTTGAATGGGAATAATGTAAGATTGGCATGGGAATAATTTGGAATAGAAACCAATCTTGATGCATCTTTTGTGTGGATTGCTTCATATGCACTAACACAATATTCTTCTTAACCTGTTTTGACACTACAGTGAACAAAAACAACAAAATAGCCTCCGATTTATTCATAACTACAATACATTCTTGTGTTTTCCTATCCTTTTTAACATTCGTTCTGCTTTTTTGTTTTCATAGCAAGGCCTGTTTGACAGCCTGCACCTGCAGTGTGTAAGCCCAGTGTCTAGCTACAGAAAATTAAATGATATCTGTGTTACTATACTGAGCATTTTCTTTAATACCAAACCAATTATAATTGTTTATTTGCCTTATTTATGTGTGTTTACAAACGTTATCATCATGAAACCTAATTTACATGAAAAAAAGCACGTTATGCATGCAATCGAAAAATAAATATGCATCGTGCATGCTGCAGACGTGGGATGTGGAAAACAGGCCTAATCCGGCAAGCACACTTGAGGTGCATTTTAAAACTTAATCCATAATAATAGTCAATATTCATAGCAGTTCTTACAAAAGAAAAGCAAATATTTCCAATAATTAATCTGTCAGAAGTTTCTCAGTTAAACAAATTTTACATGCATATTATGCATATTGTACAGTTAAGTGCAACTGCACTATTCCAATAATAATTTTTCCCTTTAGATAGCGCTCCAGTGGTTGGCAATCTGTATGTTTCTAATATTACATCAGAGAGCTTCTCCATTTCATGGAAAGACACGAGAGGAGATATTGAGAGGTTTATCCTGGAGATTATAGACTCTAGCTGGCAGCGGGAGCCAGTCGAATATAATCTGTCACAAAGCACACAGTTGTATGAAATCACTGGGCTACGGCCGACTACTGACTATATAGCTTACCTCACTGGAGTCGTGAAGGGAAGGAGAACAGACTCCGTCAGTGCTGTCGCCTCCACAGGTAACTGCAGTTCTCTCGTTTCCTTGCTGTTTTCCCCCATCTGTTTATATTGCAAATGATAAATCAGTCCTTAAAGGGGTAGCTCAACCAAAAAGATCACATTTAATCTCTCTAAAATGGGTCCATGTAAGTCTTCTGAAGTCATATGGTAGCTTTGTGTGAGGAACATGCGAAATTGAAGATGTATATCACTGAAAACCCTCTGCTATGCACATTGAAATCTGGTGCCTTAAGATGAGTTGCATCAGACTTAACTTTAAATACTGTATGCAAGCACATAAGTGACTAAATTAAGTCTATTACTCATAGAAAGGCCCAGCTACTGCATCACTTGTGGATGCGCGTTCACGACAGTATCATGACGCGAGCGTGTGGTGGTGCTGACCCAGATCTTTCCATTGATGCCGCCACACGCTCGCGTCGTGAACGCACGACCAAAGTGACGCTGTAGTGACGAAAATGTGGAATAAAGTTGTTATTTTTGTTTTCTTTGCACAAAAAAGTATTCTCGTAGCTTCGCACCTTTACAGTTGAACCACTGATGTCGCACGGACTACTTTGTCGATCATCTTGGTACTTTTCTGGACCTTGAACGTGGTAGTTACCTTGCTGTCTATGGGAGGGTCAGAGAGCCCTCAGATTTCATCAAAAATATCTTAATTTCTGTTCCGAAGATGAACGAAGGTCTTACGGGTTTGGAACAACACGAGGGTGAGTAATTAATGACAGAATTTTTATTTTTGGGTGAACTAACCCTTTAAGTTAGAGAGTGTTCTCTGAGAATGTTCCCTGTTAGCTGGGTTAGAGCAACACGAGGGTGAGGGAATGATTTTTGGGTGAACTATCCCTTTAACCAAGACTGTTTTGTCAGTTAGGCACCAAGTTAGCATGGACAGATCTCTAAACGAAAGAGAAAGAGACACTAAACGAATCGTCATGGCTGGCTCTTTCCTTCCTGTAGCGGCCGAGCCTGACTTGTCTGGGCTAGTTGTTTCAAACATTACCTCAGACACAGTGTCGCTCTCCTGGCGGACAGGAGAGAAGGCGTTTGATCATTTTATAGTCGAGGTGAGAGAGTCTGCTTTGCCCACGCAGGCGACGGGGCGCACCTTACCCGCGGGTGTTCGCTCCACGGTGCTGACCGGCCTCAGAGGAGACACGCGATATCAGATCAAGCTGTACGCCACCTTTAGTGGCTCAAACACAGCTGCCCTGATGACTCTAGTAACCACAGGTACAGCAGCGCATGCTTTTGACTAGTATAAATAGAATTGGATAGATTTGCTTCCTAACCATGTGTTTGCACAAAATTAGTCCATCATCTGAATAGTAACCAGTGTTTAATATGTTATTTATAGTAGTTATTAATATTTTGTATTAGATTTTATTTTTATATTTTCAGTTTTCGTTTTAATTTCAGATTAAGTTTTCATAAATTTGTTGTATGCTTTTATCATTTTACTAGTTTTAATATATGTGTGTGTATGTGTATATATATATATATATTTTTTTTTCAGTTTTCACTTGTTTCAGCTGGCAGTTTCGTAACAATACTCAGTCCTTTCTTTCATTCATCCAGAGCCTAAGCCTAAATTGGGCCCCATCGTGGTGTCTGAAACACGACCGAATAGCTTGACGCTGTCCTGGAGCACACTGTCAGGCCACTTCGATGGCTTTGCTGCTCGTGTCACTGACCGTGAGCAGCTGTATGATGTTGTAGAGCTCAGGCTGTCAGGCGCAGAGAGGAATGTTACCGTCACGGGTCTTATGGACTCTGCGGTCTATGACATAGTGTTTTATGGTCTGTCTCGTGGCCGTCAAACTCCAGCAGTTTCCTTCAATACCAGTACAGGTACTGTGCAAGCTTTTCATGCGTCTATCACAACAAATCAGAACTTTGACAGAACTAACAATTTTGCATCCGGTTAGATGATGTTGCAAGCAAATTACTGAAACTACCTGTGGCTTTTTATTGTTTATTGTGTATTATTTATTTATTTTGCACACTTGCATGCATGTAATAATTTACAAGGCTCTAATTTAATGACTCTGAAGGCCATTTTACACCAAGTAAATGATCAGTTTTTGACAAATTGTGTATGCGTGTGTGTGTATATATATATATATATATATATATATACACACACACACACATGCATATACATAAAGGGATACATTTTTGTAATTTTTTTTGACAATTTGTCACGTGAAAAACTGATAAAAAAAATATTTATATGTATTTCTTTTTTTGTGACAATTTGTCATGTTGGTCTTGGTGTAAAGATACCTTTAAAAGCACTTTTTTTCTTCCTTGCAGTTTTGAGTTATATTCAGTGATCTGAGATAGTTTCAGATGCATTTAAGACAATAGATATATTACAAATGGCTTGTCTTCAGGTGCAGTTTCAGTTTGCAACTTAACTTGGCTTGCTTAAGGAAAAGAAAGTGGTATTTGCCGTGTGGAAAATCATTTTTGCATCAGCCTGAGCTCATGTTGTCTAATGACATTAACACAGATGGATGATTAGATTGATTCCTTTCAGTTTTTTGTCATTGCATATACATGCAGTTCTATTGCACCCATTGAATACTCTATTATTTTACATGGAGAAGCCAAGAATAGAAAGCTCATACAATCATAGTTTAATAGTTAAAAATTGATAAGCAACATTTGACAAATAACAAGCTATTTTGACCTTGCAATCACTGCAGAATCAGTTATACATCCTCACCCTGTATTGTCCCCTCCTATAACACTGCAACTACGGGACCCAAATGAATGCTGTACCACGTAACCCAGCGTCATTACCGAAAGTGGAAAACCTCACGGTTTCGGATATTACCCCGTACGGATTTCGAGTGTCCTGGTTGGCAGATTCCTCTGAGGGCTTCAGCCATTTTCAGGTAAAGGTGTCGGACTCTGGTCAGCTGCTGGAGCCGCAAGAGTTCATAATGCCGGGGAACCAGACCGTACTGGATGTTTTGGGCCTGATTACTGGCATTGGCTTTGAGGTCAGTGTGACCGGGGTGTCAGGGAATGGGTTACAGTCTCGTCCAATCACCACAGTGGCTGTTACAGGTACCGCTCTCTGCTTTTCAACTGCACGTCACTCCGTCACATCAAAGGTTTCACTGCCCAAGCTTGGTAGTTTCAACTTTTTGTTGAGTAGCAAAATGTTTTTCATATCTAATAAATGAATTGCACATTTTTTCAGGGGTTGTATGCACAAGACATGTTCAAGAGTGTGATAGTTTCTCTCTGATATGTTGATATGTTGTAGGCGCACATAACGGCATGACAAAAAACCTGCCAAATTGTACAGTTTCTACGGTAAACACTCAATATGCTCAAGATAGTTTTCCTGCCCCAGTTGCTGCTTCTAATTGGTCACCCATTTTAAAAATCACAATTTTATTTGCTGCAATTTAAATCTTTTAAATGTTGTCATTTAAACAGTATAATGGAAACAGTGTCATTTTGTGGTCTGCTGATATGTTTCCTTAGTCATTTTTCAGCAAGCATTTCTGCACAAAAATCTTTTTTAATGGTCTTCCAGAAAAATCTGTCATCTTTACACAATAATCAATATTCACCTAAAAAATATATATATATATCGCAATTACCTTTTTTTTTTTTTATTCAGTGGCAGAAACGGGCTTCCATAAGAATCTCCCAGAGTAAGGCCAAATAATCTGAAGACTTAATACATTATGCAGTATTGCTGCTCAACCTACATTTACGTAGTTTCAGGGCTGCTTAGTTATTTTGTTTGTTTGTTTTTTTCAATGTGTGATAGCTTTTTCCCAAAATAGTGATTGCAACATAAATACATTTACATGTGTTGCTTCAGCTGCGGATTCCTTTGTAGTTTCTAGACTGATCTAGAAAGGCACAAAATGAAATACTAGAGTAGAAAACAGAAGCCATGACGCATGAAGATGACAATTAAACAAAAATAAAAAATAGTGCAGATGCAACGCAAGAACATGTCCTGTGTTTACACGTTCTTTTAGAAGTTAGTCCAAATTCTAGATGATGACCTGCTGTTGATATAAGCTTTGGTTGGGAAACTCCTACACAACTCCTCAACACTGTCCTTTCTTTATTTGCCAGGTCTCCTCCATCAGTAAAGCATTTTGTTTCTAGTGCTGCTTGTATGAACAGTTCATGCTCCACTGGTCCCATTTCCTTAAAAATATGTGCATACACATGTGTGATGCCATATTTGAATTGTGTTTTCCACTGAATGGCTGGCTTTGCACTGTATATAACAACTGTATATAACAAAAATATGTTCTAAGAATGTTGTGCTAATGTTCCCATTAAGTTATGAAAACGTTATGTTCTCAAAACTTTCAAAATGTCCTGTTTTTATTTATTTATTGTTTTTTTCTTGGTTATTTGTATTTAGAGCAAACATTAAGGGAATGTTAAAAATTTAAATTTTGCGAACATTATGGGAATGTTACTTTTGAATGTTCTCTGAACCTGAAACAAGTAGCAAGCAGTAACGTTTAAAAAAAAAAACATTAGATAAACATTCAACTAAAATGTTTCAGATAGCTTTAAACGAACATTCTATTAACGTAAAATGTTTAAAATTATATAAATAGTATATTATTGTATAAATATGTATTCAATTTTTATTTAAAACAAAACAATGTAAACTAATAGTTTTTATTTTATTTATGTTTTATAAACAATGTTTGTTTGTTTTACATAAATTAATATCATAAAAGAATGTTTTTATTTTATATAATATGCATTTAATTTAACAAATAATGTCATATATAACAGATCAGTAATTCACGTACATTCAAATATAAACATTACTTTTGAATGTTCTCTGAACCACGTGAAACAAGTAGCAAGAAGTAATGTTTAAAGAACATTAGACAAACGTTCAACTTAAGGCTGGAATTCACTACACGACCTTTAAAATCTGAACAGATTTTTAAAACACTAATGGCTCGTTTCCATTGAGCGGTACGGGTCAGTACAGTACAGTACGGTACGATTCGGGACCGAACACCCTGATCCAGCTTGCGTTTCCATCGCTTTAATCACTACAGAGACATCAGAGCCAGCGGCAAATGTCGTAAGGTCTAGCCGAGCTAAGGCTGCTCTATGCGGATACATGAGCACTGAGCTCCCCGTGATCGCATGGAGCTCCGAAATCGGCATAGCAGATTTTCAAATAGGTGCTATCTTTATAAATAAACCGCAGATTTTAGTTTTAAACATACATTCTCGCCTGAAAAACTCTTAAAACTACATTTCATGACACAATAACAGTAATATTTTGAAAATGATGCGGGTTTTTGGGCAATGACGTTTCACACGTCCACAAGAACAGGAAAGAACGCATACTGAGAAACGGCTATTGTCTGTGTGAAAATGTAAAATTATAAAATACACTGTTATATTTTTTTCTATTTGCGCACTCTGATGTAAATAAGCCCTACACTCATGGACAGCAGAGCGGAACGAGTGAAGGAGAAGCTTTATCCCCTTGTATCACGCAAAAGTGACGATTCTAGTCAACTAGTCAACGTTCTGCAGTGAGTTTGGCTCCACCCTTTTGGTACCCTTTGCTGTGCTAGGTACCCCAACGGAAGGGTACCAAAAAAGTGGTACGGTACGGTTCGCTATTTTGGTACCATTCACAACTTCTGACAATGGACATAATTGCATACCGTACCGTACCGTACTGTACTGAACCGTACCGCTCGGTGGAAACGAGCCATAGGAATCATACACTTACCGACTTTGTAAATAGTCACACTGGGCGTCATACACTAAACGACTGAGGACACACACTACCAGACTTTAAATCCATTCCGATCACAACAAACTCACTCAGAAATGTGCGACTTGTTGCTAGGAGACGCGTGACAAATGAAAACAATATGTGTCCTAAAATCAGCTCAAAACATCAAACATGTTTGATTTCCTCCGACTGGATGGAATCAAAGTCTGAAGCTAAAAAATCAGAGTCTGTGACCATCACACACTACACAATTTTCTATGAAATCTTTCAGCTCAAATCTGCAGACCGGCTCTGACTTTCGCCAACTAGCGGCGACTTCTCCAAACTGTAAATCGGGGGAGAATCGGGCCAAAAGTCGTGTAGTGTATTCCAGCCTTAAACATTTCAGTATAACGTTCCACAAACAGTGTGTAAATAACATTATTAAAGACCAGATAGCTTTAAACAAACGTTCTTTGAACATTCCCTATTAGCAGTAGCTCAGAAGGAAACACAGTCTTGCATGAAATCACTATAAAGAGGGAAAGACAGTCTTATGTAAGTGGCGTGCATGATTTGCAATGCCATTTACAATATTAACTGGTGTCGGAAGTCATGAAGGACCATGGTTTATGTCCATGGTTTAACTAACACAGGAAGTTGTATTCATACTTGATGCATGTCGAATGGGTGGAGACTGGCAGGTAGTTGGAAATAAAGCGCTCTTGAGTCTGTCTCAGACTTGTTAAAACAAGAAAAAGACACATGTCACTTACTTGTCAATCAGAGGCAGAGCCAGAGATCGAGCACCTTTTCGTGTCAGACGTCACCCCTGAGAGTTTCCGGCTGGCCTGGACGGCAGAAGACGACGTCTTTGATCGATTCGTGCTCAAAGTTAGAGATTCGAGCAAGCTCTCCCACCCTCGAGAGTTCGTTGTGCCGGGCGATGAAAGAGCCAAAGTTTTAACGCAGCTTTTGGGGGGAACCGAGTATGAAATTGAGCTTTACGGTGTCACGCTGGAACATCGCTCCCAACACATTACTGCTGTTGCCAGAACAGGTATTGCATTTGTCAAACACGATCATTTCTGGATTCGAGGGGCTTTCTTGGCTGCAATGTGATGGAAGTATGATCTGAATAACACTCTTCATCGTAAACAGGTACTGATCTGTGATGCACCGTGATTTGAAACGTATCTGTCATGATATATTTCAATCCAGGGTTAAAGTCAACAGCAAATACTGTTCGCATGCCATTTTACTTGATGCATTTCAACTGGATAATCAACAAGAAAAAGACTGCTTGGTGCTTGACTTGATCTATTGGGTGAAAAGTGGGTTTTTAGACACTATAATCAGAAGTTTTGACAAAACTTCATGAAGTAAGACGTTGGTTGGTTTTCAGTTGACGTTGACTTTAACCTTGCATGCTCTTATGAAGGAACGTTATGCGTGTTCATGCATCCAGAGGAAAGTCTCCCAGTGTTCATTTCACTACTAAACCATCAAGTCTTCGTTGTTGGGAAACGTGACGTTAATTTGTCCGCATGCACTGAGAACTAATGTCTGTGTGTCGGTTTATGATCAAAATAACATGCCTTCTTTTTGTCATCATCTCGCTCCAGGTTAAATTTGTGGAATGCAATTGAATGGTTTTGGCATGATTGATCATGTTAAAAATGGTTTCTTGCACTATTATGACTAATGAATCTTTCTTTTAGGCCTTTTTTCATTGCACCAGAGAAAGGCCTGCTTCACCTGCAGTTCAGTGGCCTTTTCTTTGTCCATTTTCCAGTGGCTGTTTGAATTAACGTCATAACTTAATGGGCATAAGGACCCTGGGTGGATCATTTTCCCAATTTTTTCAAAATTTTTTCTTGCTGTTGCTAAATATGTATCTGCGTTGCTGTCTGGCAGGCCTTGGAGCTCTAGGGGACCTTCGTTTCTCTGACATGACGGACACAACAGCTGTGGTCTCCTGGACTCAACCGCGATCCCAACCGGACTCCTACAGGATCACTTACGTCCCCGTCCAAGGAGGCGAGTACCGGTCCTGAAAATGATTGAAAACATTATATTAGATATATACAAACAACAGAGCTAGTGTTGAAGATGAAGACTAAAAAAAGTTGATTACAAGACGTTGAGCACATTTTGAGACGCTCTGATGAAATTCACGCATTAAGTCTTGCTTCTCTTCTGTGTTTTTCCAGGTGCTCCCATGATCTTGATGGCGGACGGGTCACGGTCTCAGGTTTCGCTGACCAATCTGATTCCTGGAGAGATGTATCAGCTGTCGCTTGTTGCAGTGAAAGGTCTGGAGGAGAGCGAGCCAGTGTCCGACACTTTTACTACAGGTCGGTTAAGACACTTAACTGATTAGTGGTGTTTTTAAGATAAGCATCATTCTCAGTATTGCTCAAACTGAGCGTCAATGATCTGAAAACAAACCCCTTAACCATAATATAATGTAATATAATATAAAATTATAAATAATATGAAAGATCAGTAATGCATGTACATTAAAATGTAAAGACGTGAAAATATGTTAAATGTATTAAAAATAAATTATATAAATATATTATTGTATAAATTATATTCATTTTTTTATATACAGTATTACAAAATAAAGTAATAGTTTTTATTATATTTATAATATATATATATATATATATATATATAAACAAATTATAATATAATATAATATAATATGCAACAGATCAGTAATTCATGTACATTCAAATGTAAAACCATGAAAATATTTTAAATGATTAATATAATTTAAATAATAAATTAATTAATTAATATAATTTAAATAAATTAAATAATTATTATATTAATGTATAAATATACATTGAATTTATTGTATATATATAAAACAAAACAACACCATGATTTTATAAATAACCAATAATATAATTATATAATAACAGATCAGTCATGCCAAAATAATGTTTTTATTATTTAATTAATTTACCTCCAGCCCTGGATACGTTTTATATACAGTATTACAAAATAAAGTAATAGTTTTGATTTTATTTATTTTTATTTTATATGCAATGTTTGTTTGTTTGTTTGTTTTACATATAACCAATTAATATCATAAAACAATATTTTTATTTCTATTTTATTTTGTATATGTCTGTATTTTAACAAATAATGTAATATAATATTATGTATACTGTAACAGATCAGTAATTATGTACATTCAAATGTAAAGACATGAAAATATCTCAAATGTAGTAATATAAATTATATAAATGTTATATTATTGTATAAAAAGTGTGTGTGTGTGTGTGTATGTCTGTGTGTG